GGCAACAGCAGGGCGAGGTGTGTGGTTTTTTAAACCACAACCACAGCACTGTTTTAAACACATGTACATTTATATATAATATATATATTTAAATATTTTTTATATATGTATTTATGTAGATATATATTTATACATATATATTCTGATTGGTCGATTTTCTGTTTTATATATATATATATATATATATAGTTTTGTGTTCATTTCATTGGGGGTGGAGGAGGGAGGGTAACAAGTGCTAATGGGGGTGGTTTTACAGCACCACGTTTCACAGGTAACACTCTGTCTTCAGGAGACCCCCCCCTGTTTTTACTGTATTGGATTAGCCCAACCCACAGAAAGATTGAAATCATTTGCTAGAAGCCTTTGTCCGGTGGTTTGATGAATGTTCAGTTGGTTAGTCTCCTCTACCATGTCAAAGATATCGACGGTGTGGCAACATTTTACAAAAAAAAGAAAAGAAAACGGTTAAAAAGTTGAATGAAAAGTTTGCAAGCAACTGTTTTTATATTCCAGCTCGACTACAAACACGGCCCGTCGCCCATAATCGGTAAGCTAGCTAACTTTTCCGCGTTAGTTAGCTCCGTCCGTATTGAGTATATAAACATAGCAGAATTAACATATTGAATGTTTTAGCGTGATAATCGTTTCATAACTACAGACGAACCTGCCCATATCGACGGCAGCATCCCTTAGTTTTTAAGTTTTAAGATGGCGCCATCCTAGCGGTAACTCGCTGTATTAGCTTCAGGTATTTCTGTACCAAATTTCACTTCCGGGATGAACAAAGTCATGTATCTCCGGTACACCCAGGTCTCGCAGGATGTTAGGCCTCATCTATCATCCAAATACTTCATTATTATTATTATTTGACTTATTTTGTTTCTGCATTCGTTTTGATCTGGATTGTTTCTTTGTCTGAAATAACACATGACGAAAAGAATTGTCTAGATATTCCTTAACAGTTCATGTGCTGATATCACTATATGTTTTACGTTATGCAAAGAGTTCAGTGTGTAATTACTTTTAATTTCACGGCTTGAGTTAACATGTATGAGTTTATATATGTATATATATATATATATATACACAGACATATATTTAGAGTTCATCAGCAGTGGTGCCAAAGTGGTTCAAAACAGGTATGAAGTCTTAGTTTAGATTTACATGCTGCCCACACACTGACACAGTGAGGACCAAACACCTCAGGCCTGTGTTTTTTCAGCTCAACTGTCTGTGATCAGAGATGATGTTACAGTCTCATGTCAGCGCTGCGAGCTTCATGGTTGCACCCGTGTATTTGACTGTGACTCTGAGAATCTGCCTCAGGGAGATTATAGACCCAGAAGCCTCTGCTGTTCTGCATGAACCAGCCTTCAGTTTTAATGGGTTTCTAGTCTTTTTAACTGCACACTATTCTGTAGTTTTGTTCTTTTCTCCCTCCTAAAAATGTCTTCTTTTTTTTTTTACTTCTTTTGTCTGACAGGAAAGTCTCCAGCAGCTGGTTATGATGCCTTTACCAGATGTTCTTGTGCTGGGCCGGAACCCTCTGTCTGGTAAGTGTCCACCGACACAGATACGTCACCTTCATGGTTTAAAGTTTCCATGGAGTTACCTCGCAGTTGACATTAAAATAGGTAGTAATTGAAAAAGAGTCTAAAAAAAAGGGTCTTACGTTACCCCCCGTTAGTCCCTGGGCGTCCCCTGTAACTTGAAATGCGGTGTAATGCTCTGTAGAGAAGTGTTGACCTCTTGATCCCCGGGCCGAGCCACATGATACGTCTGAGCAGAGCGGCGGCGAGTGTTCCATCAAAACACTGTCATTACAGCCGACTCTGCACCAACTGCTGCTGATGTGACTCATGATGGAGTGAATGACGGAGAAGATTGGATTTAGACGCTATTGTCTCAGAGGAGAAGTTCATTTCACGGAGGAGCGCCTGCCGGCGGACAGATTTAATTCACACACACGCTAACGAATACTGAGCGCGTTGTTGGTTTGGTTGTACATACCGTAGATCCATTTTTAAATTGTTAAGCTTGTTTATTAACCCAAACCTCGCTGATGGAACACCACATTCGCTCTGATCCTTTTTCCACTTAGCCTGTTAGCACTTTGCAAGACAGTTTTTTATTGTGGTAAATAACCAGGGAGCTAAGAAAGTATATGAAGTATATTTTTTGTTTATCTGAAAATTATTCTGTTGTTGACCAGAGGTCGTCACTGGTAGAAATAATAACTTGGAGGAAAATTTTACTAAGTTACTTGGTTTAAAAACTTTTTTTTTCTTCAACTAGAGTTTATGGTCTTACTCACAACTTTTTGGGATTTGTTTTATATTATGTTGTGTATATTTTCTATAGTATAATTTTACCCTAGTGGTGACAGTGTGGCTACTGCGGGGACCGTAAAGTAAGAAGATTCCTGTTTCATTGCCCTGGGGTAACTCTGGGGAACAGGAGGTCCGGGGTAGGAGCGTGTGCAGATCTTTTTTATGATGGACACGGTGGAAGAGTGGTTGGCGCTTTGGCATTACAGCAAGTCAGCTGTTTGATCCCCTGTGATGATAGTCTGATGGTCTTTTTGTGTGGAGTTCTGCCAATTTGTTTGTAGGTTCTCCCTCCATGTTCTCCAGTTTCCACCCACAGTCCAGACACATGCAGGATTAAGGTCAAAGTTCACTCTAAACAGTGACAGTAGGTGTGAATGGGACTGTGATGGACTGGAGCTCATTAATGACCCTGAAAATAATTAAGCAGTGGATAATTAATGAACTAATGAAAACCACTTGAAATGAGAAAAAAAACAGTTTGAAAAGTGAGATAAACATCTGCATGTAAATACCCCAGGGCCGTTACTGTCTGCCCCCGGGGCTTCATCACTGCTGTGTTTGTCTTTACAGACACACAGTTCATGCAGTAGCAGCTGCAGGAAGGATTGATAGATTTCTGTAGCCTTTTCATGTCGCGCTGCTTTTGTCACGTTTTCACCACAGACTTGATTTCAGGCTGATATGAAGTCTTTTCATCACTTGTCATTTAACTCCAGACAAGTTCATCTACGTACGGGCGTAGAGGAAAAAGACAAACACAGAGGGCGCTGCTGTAGATGTACACAAGGTGTGTGTTGTTTGTTTCTGTTTTGACAACTATGTGTTTAGTTCAGTCAATATTTTCAGTTTATTAACCACTTTCCTACACTTTTTAATTGAGGGCTGTTTTTTGACCAAATCTGACATTTAAATCAAATATTTTTATATTTTCCAAATCTAAATAACAATATTGTCTTATTTTATTTAGGGATCAGATTTTTCTTCTTTATTTATGTCTGTTAGCAGGATTATAGAAAAAATAAAAATAAAACCACACAACGTGTCCCTGACAAGTGGAACATGGGAAATCTCATGTTTATTTTCATCTAGTTCAAAACAAGAGTCTCAAACTTATGGTCTTGGAGCCAAATCTGAGCTGCGAACTCCCCACATTTGGCCCAGGACTAGATTTGAATTTTACTCTTGAGTTAATTCAATAAAGTTTTTTTTCCATTAATAAAATCCCTCACCTCATTTGAGTTTGAGACCCCTGGTTCAGTGGAACAGCGCAGCTCTATGGTTTTATGATCCACTAGAGAACGGTGCTACTGCAGTTGATTTCTCTGCAGTACATTGCAGTATTTTGAAGGACTGACACTAGACACGTCTGAAGTTATCACTGAGAGAATTCAAAAACCAACCCACGCAGATGAGAGTGTGGAGGTTTAGCTCAGGGCCAGTGGATCCTCGCAGGGGCAAAAGCATTAGAACAGCATTCCTCAGGCTCTGTGCTGCCCTTTGACCCCGGGGCCTGTCAGTTAATCAGTCAGCGTGGCAGCGGTGGCTGCAGACACTGCTGCCGTGCATCGGCGGCTGCCAGCTGTAAGTCATTGGCCATGTGGCCTTTATTACACTCTCATTAGGGGGCAGGAGAGAGCGTGTGCACCGTCGAGTGTGTGCATAGTTGGTGGTTGGGGGAGGGGAGTCTTCAGCACACACTGAACAGTGAGAAAGCACTGTAACACACCCACCCTTCCTCTTCCTCCCCCTCCTCCTCCCCCAGGCTCTGACCTACTCCCCTCCTTCCTGCTCACACAGTGATGATGTACATGCTCGTAGGTTCTGTTTATAGCTGCTCACCACTAGGGCTCCTGTCTGGATGCAATCTATACAAGTGACTGCCTTTTGTGTAAACACAAGAGATTTCTGATTTCAAGAGGTTGTGGAAGTGCACCACACACCCGCTGACTTCATTTACTTGTCTTCATCTTTTTTTTTTGTGAATACGTGACTGTTATTTTCAGGGAAATGTAACTGGAAGGTGTTGAGGAAATGATTACAGTTGTGCTGATAAATAAATGTTATTTTCAATCTTAATCAATATAATAACTAGTGGCAGCTCAGGAGATAACGGGTTTTGGTCTGTTCTCTTCACTTGACCTCACATTTTTTGTGCCATGTGACTCAAAAAAAAAAATTCATCACATAATATAAAATATCACAAACTATAGAAACTCATAAATAAGTCTGGGGTCCCCGCTCCAGTCGAAGAGCTGAACGCTCACACCAGTGACCCACGAGTCACAGCGGCCTGAATGAGTCTTTTCACCGGCGGAAGCGAGTGCCGCGGCCGTGCTTGTGCACACGCACACGCATTCACTCACATCCTAACATTAACAATGACGCAGCAGGAAGACGGCGTTAGTCACTGTCCAACCGACCCCTGGTTTCCTGCTTGGGAGATAAAGTAAAGAGGAGGGGAGGGGAGAGGAGGTGAGAAAGAGAGCACGGATGAGGAGGAGCAGCTTTGAAACAATGATGAGTGAAGGGGGGGGGGCGGAAGGAAACGTCGGGTGAATGTAGGATGTAGAAAATCAATGTATAGAAGGGATGGAGTGTGTGTGTGTGTTTGTGTGTGTTAGAGGAAAGGAAAAGGAGGACAAAGAGAGTGTGACTCGTTGAGGGGGTAACACCTCCTTCACGCCTCCTCTCTGCTGCTGAAGGGAGTATTTTTGACCTTGCCTTTTTGACTTCCTCCTGCTCCGTCCTCTACTCTCTTCTTCCTCCTTTTTTACTATCCACCTGTCCGTGAAGTTTTCCTCCCGTTTGTCTCTCCTCCTTTTGCCGTCTCCGTCGTCTTCCCGTGCTGAAGCTGCATAAATAATTTATCCTGTGAGGTTCCTTATCTCTCCTCCAGCTCCAGCACATTTCTGCTGAGCTAAATCCCGTCCCTGCCTTGAATATGTTGTGAGTGTCAGAGCGAGGAGAATTAAAGCCTTCACCCTTCGGTTTCTGCTCATATCTGCCCTCTGTGTTCAATAGTGCTGTTTAAGAGGAAGGTGGGAAGAGGGGATGGGGGGAGGGAGGGTGATGTTATTTTTGGAGTCTGGCTTTTACAAAAACTGGCTCAGCCAACCGTTTTATTCATTATCTTTACTCCAATGACTCGTCTAAAAGTTTGTTTTTTAAAAATTTAAATTACAAACCAAATGATTCAGCTCTTCGTGTTAATATTTATTATGAATATTAAGACTTTATCCAACCTCAGGTCAAACAGACAGAAGCACAACAGTTAATAAATCTGGCTGTTCAGTCACAGACATCATCGTCTGTAGGTGTAGCTGCTGCATGATCACTTCACTGCTGTGTTCAAAAAGCTGCTGGAGAAGCTTCAGCTCAGGCCTGATTGTGGAAAAAAAAAACAAAGTCCCAACAGATGGGATTATTTATGGCACTCATCGCTTCATTTTATTTTAGAACTTGGATTAGGGGTTCAAATATATTGGAGATTTTAAACTTCTACTGCAGTTTTTACTGTTACTCTTCAAAGACAAATCCTACATAAAACACAGCAGCAGAAGCAGTCGTGTTCATTTTTAGCTGCACTTTCCATTTCAGCAGAGGAACGGGCACTGTTTCTGGCCTGTTCTAAAAACATTCAGTGTAGAGAGAACGTGTGACGCACCGGAGCACCTGAAACATCACAGTTACCAACGCATGGAAAATGTCTGCAGATCCAAATGGAACCTTCTTAAGAATGTTTAATGCTATCTCAGAATCAAAAGTACAACTTTATGTTGGTCGGTGTTTCACGTCACTAGGGATGGGAAAGATAATTGTTCTGCTGATGCGTCACCAATGTTTTTTTACACTTATAAGATATTGATATTACTGAAATATTTGATCCCACACAGGGGGAATTCTTGTTTTTACAGCAGATCTGCTGCCCCCTGGAGGTGCCAAGTATGTGGTTTCTCTAGGGTCTCGAACCCAGATCATTTTAGTTCAGTGAACTTGGCTGAACTAGAGATACAGCTCATGAACGGTCATACTGAAACGGCGCCCCCTGCCTTAAAAGCTAACATTCAAAGATTTCTTTTGTCTGATCCAACTATCTCCTCCTCCTCCTCCTCCTCCCTCCATGACACGACGCGTTGACCTTCCACATCCACACTGATCCAGACCAGCAGTATCTTTAGACATGGGTGGTGCAGATAGTGTGTGTATACCATGCAGTAACTGCCCCTGAGTCACTGTAACACAACCGTGCTGTAACACCACCTGGTTCACTGGTGATGAGCTCAGACCTGTCGCACATGCTGCTGCAGCAGCTGTTCTGAGGTCACAGTGTGTTCTGACATGTAGAGGGGAAACAGGAAGTGAATCCTGCAGCGCTGCACCGCGGGAGCAACTCTGTAACTCAAGTCGTGGGTTTTTATTAGGCAGGAATTGTTGCAACACGAGCGAGTTCGGCTAATTGGTAATAAAGGTGGAATGAATGGATCGTGTTTCAAACTGCGCCCTCGCCCCCAACCATGACTGATTCACCCATCACTTTTATTTTTATGAGGGAATTAGGAACAGGTTACTGAGGTTTTTCACTAATATTTGTTGTTTTTTGTGTGTGTGTTTTTCAGAACAAGGTCTGGAGGAGATGAAGAAGCTGCTGCTGCTCCTGCTGGGCTGTGCTGTTCAGGTCTGAACCTCGGTCTAACTCACTCACTCTCTGGCTTTTATTAGCACGTTTCACACTTTATTGGTAACATTGATGCAGTTTTCAGTGTAATGCCGGAAATCTAATTTAGCTCCATTTTCCAGTGACTGCTGCCACTTACTGCCTGTCATGACATGATGTGACTCTAATGTGGTTTACTGAAAGGCAAGCGGGAGTATTTTTTCCTCGTTTCCTGCGACAAAGGTCTCTTTCAGCACAAACTCTGCTCATTCAATTTGACTGGAAAAGGTTAAAGGACTCTTAAAAAAGGTTAAAGGACTGTTAACAGGATCATCTCGTCACACTCGCTCCACCCCTGGAGATGCACAGTGTTGTCCAATAGCATTGATGTTTGTGGTAAAACAGAATTTTAGTTTTTACTCGCGCATGAAAACTGTTAAAAATATAAACGCTAACAAGATACTACTAACTAAATTTTACATCACCTCCATTTCAGTCTGTTCTCTTCTTCAGTGGTGTTTTTTATCGGGGAATTAATTCTGTAGGATTTTTCTTTCTTTTTTATATCTGTGATTTCAGTGTGAGAAGAAGGAAGAATACATCGAGCGAATACAGACTCTGGACTTTCACAGCAAAGCTGCCATCGCTTCTCACATCCAGGAGGTAAAAAGAGCTCATTGTAAACCAAACATTTTCACACACACAGTCTTTTCTGCTATGTAAACAGATTTCTTTTTGTTAGATTAAAAAAGAATCCTAACAATACAGTGCTGTTGGTTTTAAGGTGACCCATAACCAGGAGAATGTGGTGGACCTGCAGTGGTTTGAGAGTGGAGAGATGCCGCCTGAAGATTTGGACAGTCTGTCCAGAAACCTGGCGTTCCATCTCAAACGCCTTGTGGATGAAAGAGACACTCATCTGGAGGTAATGACTTTCACATCTGCAAAGGTCAGGGTCAGGGCACAGAACAGAAATGTCATGGAAAAAGGAAAATATGCAGGTTTAGCAATTAGCAGAAAAAAGAATTGAAATCGTAGCAGTAGCAAAATATTAACATAATAGAAAACAGAAATATTCAACCTACAAATCACCACTTATTTCATAGATTGAGAAATATTTTTAAAAATTACAAAAATGGCTAGAAGTTAGCAAACATAGATAACTAAATGTAAGCATTTGTGGTAGCTAAAGGTTAGCCAAAAACAAAACAAAATGAATATTTTTTTATTTCAAGAAAAACTAAATTTTCACAAAAAACTAGCCAGTTATATTAAAAAATAAAAGCCAGGACAAACTTTGCTGAAAGTGCTGTAATAATGTTCATAAGGCTGTACTGTAACAGTAACCAAAAGTTATAACACGCCTCCACTGGGAAACTGCTGTGAGTGAGTGTTTTATTGCATCCTAACAGTGTTGTTGTGTTTGACAGTTTATGTGGAAACTTCTGCCTTTTTTTTTTCTGCCACCATCAGAGATCAGGAAGGAAGGGTAGAAACTGTGAACTGTACCTTTAACCAGCACTGTACGCCTCATTAATTGAGTTTAAACCCACACCGTGCAGATGAACAGAGCTGATAAGGCAGATGCATGTGTTTGTGCATGTTTTTGTACGTGCACAAGCACAGAGAGAGAAAAGGACTTTAATCGTCTCCAGATTATTTCTACGCAGACCAGCCGCTCCCAATTAAAAGCCCATTTCCTGTCACGGGCACTGGATCCAAATAGTCTGTGTGTGGGACTCTGGATGTACTTGTCTGTGCCTAAAGTCTAAATTTGGAGATGTGGGTGTGATTAGTAAATCCATTTATTTCTTATAAAAAAAGAAGGTCAGCCACTGAATCCGCCTGTACGGGGGAGAAAAATAAAGTGAATTTTTGTTGTTTTTTTTCTTGCTGATTTTCACCTGTCTGCTCTCTTCTGATGCCTGTTTCAGACCATAGTGGAGCTGACGCAGGAGAGAGACTGTATGACGTTGTCTCCTCTGGCTCCGTGTCCAACACACTCTCCCGGGGACTCCCCCAGCATGAGGAGGACGGAAAGCCGACAGCATCTGTCTGTGGAGCTGGCCGATGCCAAGGCCAAAATCAGACGCCTTCGCCAAGAACTGTGAGTGTCACCGCTACGTGTCAGGAACCTTTAGTTACAGGAATCATTTTTAAGGAACTAAGCAGGGATCTCAGTCTAGGTATTTTTAGGACGTATAAAAACCCCGTGAGAGGCCGAGTGGAGCCAGTGGTGCCTTCACAGTTCTAGGAAAATCACTGTTGGTGTTTACACTGCTGTAAGTCATTCAATGGAAATGGAACGTTCCCGGGTGTTTTTGATCTTTCTGTCTGTATTACGTCCGGTCGCTTGGTTTTTGAATGGTCGCTGTGTTTGTGAAAAGTGCGATGGTAAAGATCAGGTCCGACCTTCAGACAAACACACCCTCTCAGCCCAGCAGCTGCCTTTAAAGGCTGTCTATGAATAATGGAGTTTCCTTTGTTAAGTGCCATAATCCCCGACCAGACCCGGTCCTAATGGACAGAACCAATTATTCCTTCATAAAGAGTGGACCATCATTTTATTCCCAGCAGAACTTTCTCACTGCTGCCCAAACAAAACACATCATGTAACAGACTGTCTGGCTCCTCACGGCGGCGGTGGTGGTGGTTGTTGGATTCCTCGAGGTTTTGTTTTTTAGGGGATAGTTTTTACATTTGAGAAGATTTAAATGTTCAGAACTTCCAGTGCATTCTTCCACACAGCTGTATAACAAAGAATAGAACCTCAAATATGATGTGGTGCACGAGTTTAAAGAAAACTACAAACCGTCAGAGAAAAATGACAAACAATCTCTGTGAAGTGTTGGTTGTAAAAGATGGTTTGTTTACGTCAGAAGTTCCCAAAAATCAGACGACTTGACCTCAACTTAAATCATGCTGTAGTGACACGGATCCAAAACCTGAAATTTTTGACTATTGCATTGTGACCAGGACTTGGACCTGGTCTTGGATGAAATACTTTCATAAAACAATGTTGGTCACAGAGGTCCGTGAAACCTGCAGCAGATTTACTGTAGCTCTTGGTTCCACTTTGTTAATCAGACAATGGTTGTTCTGTGAGTGATGTTTTTACCAAGTGGTTGTAGGTCTTTGATTGGTCACACAAACATCACCTCTGCCTCAGTGAACGTCAACTCACTCAGCAGCGTCTCATGATGAAGACATGATGAAGACAGATGTCGTCCCTGTCCCACATGTTCTTAGTGATGAGACTTTAACAAAAAAACAACCAACTGAGACACAAAGGGACAATGACCTGTTTTGTTTGTTTGTTTCCATGGTGTTTTCTACTGGCTGCCATGGCGTGCTCATCATGTGATGTGTCTCTGTCTGTGCTGATGTCATCAGGTCACATGGCTGTAGTGTCTTTTCTCTGAAGAGGCTTGTGTTTTTGTTTTGTGTTTGTGTGTGGTCTGTGAGCACGACGGGTCGAAAAAATTTAAAAGTTGAAACTCTCTCTCTCTCTCTCTAACCCTGTACCATTTTATAGTTAAGTGTAATATTTCAGTAGAGTAAGATAATAAAAAAAATTGCCCTGATTTAGCTAAGAGTGCACTGATCGCTATCACAAAATTTAGTCTTAGTTTTAAAGGTAGTTAAGTTAAACTTGCAGTAACTGAACCAAATAATGAGTTTTATTATTAAACCTAACGGCCATGAAGAGCAGTGAGAAAGTAAAATTGAATGATATAAAGTTTGTCCAAACTGTAGTTAAAACTTAGCCCAGAAAATAATGAAGTGAAGTTGGTAAAATAATAAAATGTAGCCTTGATGTAGCCTAGAGTTAAACACAATATAGAGGATAGATGGATAAGTTTGGGGGGCAGGGAAGGGGGTTGGGGGCGGTGCGGCCACAAAAAGTCAAAAGATACAAAGCTACAAGTCCTCGTTTGTCTGCTGTGTTGTGTTTGGTCCGTCAGAAGCAGAGCAGGACAGACCTCAGGGCTTTAGTTCTGTTTCCCACAGTGCAGCAGTTGTTAATGTATGAGTTAATGCTGCTGCTGCTGCTGCTGCTGCCGTTCCTGGGTTTAAACCCATTAAACCACATTAGAGTAGAACTGTTCAGGCTGTTTATTCCACTGTGGGGCCTTAATTCACCCCCAGGTCACTGGGTAAATTAGTCCACCTCCAAATGCACCTTCAGTATTAGACCAGCGACAGAGCCTATAGACAGAGTTGCCAGATCTGCTATCTGTTATCAGCAACTTTGATCATAATTTTATAATTTTGGTGCAGACGGGCTGCCCTTTTTTTTTTTTTTTTTTTTTTGAAGTGAGGTTACTGATTACAGGTTTAGTTCCGGTTGTCATGCCGACCAACGCCGCTTACTTACCTTTCAGATTTTTTTTTCTCTGCTGTGTTGTACGTTAAAGTGGGCCATCAGAGAAGAGGCTGACATTATTTTTTATGCATGTTAAAAATATCTGCAAACAAGTGTCAGTGTCTGTGTTAAACCATTAACACAGGCAACAAATCCAGCTGCATCCATTAAACCCAAAGATAATCTGCCTCGCTAGGCTTGACAGGTGTTTGTAATTTGGGGGTGCGGAGAAAGGAAAATGAGGGGGGACTTGGGGGGGTAGCACAGTAACTGTCTGTAGATCGACTCCAGGTTTCAGATAAGATCCACAGAGGAACGAGAGACTGAGAATCAGGAGACGGCTTTTTCTCCCCTTGATTATGATGCAGTGTGTTTTTTTTGAGTGCTGTAATTAAATAGACGTCAGATGTTCGGTGGAGGGAACGGGTGGAAGTCAATGCCACTGTGGAAAAATAATAAACCTCTGAGTGGAAAGGTCCAGAATAAAACCAAACACAACTCATCCATTGGTTCTTCTAAATAAAATCTTATCGAAATATTTGTCAAATAAATTTGTCTCAAATGTCTGCGCAATGTTTTCAGTTGGATTTAAGATGCACTGCAGATGAAATGAGTTAAAAGAAAAAATATATATACCTTGAAGTTTTTACCCTGAAATAGTGTAGAAAATTTTAAAAAGTTAGCTTAGAGTGTTGGCACCAAGGTCAATCAATAGCTAGTCAGAAATGTAGCATAAAAAAATAGTTTATAAATATACCCTTCAGTTGTTGGAAGATTTGGAATTTGATCAGAAAAAAAACATTCATTTTTTCGATTGACCTTTTGGCCTCTGAACCTCTGCGTACCTGGAACAGATCCTTTTTTTCCCCCCGCTCTCATCCTGCATCTTTTTCCACAGTGGTTTTGGATCCACATTTGCATGTCTTTGTCTTTGTCTTTGTCTGTGTCCTGGTCACATGGTGCCTCATGTTCCCCTTGTTTTGTTTGCACTCGTGCTGTGATGGGTGTGAGAGGCGGCAGGAAGAGGATGTTCATCAGGAGGAGACACTTGAGCGACGTTGTCTCCTGACCCTACAGTAACAGCTCACCACAAATAAAGGGTGTTTTTACCCCGGTCTTTGTGGTTCGTCTCAGGTTCACATGTCAACATGGGTCGAGGACAAGGGATATAAAAAAAGACAATTCTAGTTACTGTTCTGACTGTCACTAACATCACACTGTATCTTTTCCCCTGTTTGAATTGAATAAACAGTGATAGATGAGCAAAAAAAGTAAAATAAGAATAATTTTAAAAACTGTATCAAATCAGTACATAGTTTGTTTGGTATTTTTTTAACTGCAAAAAAGAAGCATTTCAGACATTTCCTATTCTGAGAACCGCT